AGTGGGACACCCTTAACCCCAGTATCACATCCTTAATCCTGGTAGCACACACACTAGATCCAGCCACCTCCAAAATCCCCACTTCTGAGTGTGGAACATCTAGCTACAAGGTGAAACATTCTGCCCCAGGCCCCGCAAAGACTCCTGCACATCCCTTTATGCAAAACACATTTAGTCCATCTCTAAGAGTTGCCAAAGTCCTAACAGTTTTAGAATTGCTGAGAAGGGGGTGCGGATTTAGCTCAGTAGCACCATCCCTGCCTGGCAAGGGCAGAGTCCTGAGTTCTATTCCCTGTATAAGAAAGAGAGTGTGGGGGGAGGAAGGAAACAGAATTGCTGAGAAGTCCAAGTCCAAAGTTCTCTAGGATTTAAAGCAAACTCTTACCTGGGAGCCCCTGTACAAATGAAGAGAAAGTCAAGCACTATCAACATACAATGGAATGAGATAAACAATCCCATTCCAATCAGGGAGATAGACAAGAATGGGACCAAAAGAAGTCCAAAATCCAGCAGGGCAAACAATAAGGCCAATAGTTCCCTGTCCAGCACCTGGAGCAGTGTGTGGCAAGTTGTGAGCTCCAAAGGGCTCAGGTGGCTCCTCCCCAAGGCACTGCCAAGGGCTGCAGCTCCCACCACCTCTGTCCTGGGCCACTCTGCTCCTTTCTTGCAGCTTGTCTTAGAAGGTCCACGTTCCTGGCTTCTCCAGCCTTCTGGGGTCTCCACTGCATCTTCGGCTTCACACAGCCCCACACAATGCCCTCTCAGGGGCGCCCTGCCTGGCCTCCCAGGCCCTCTGAAACCTGGGCGGAAGCCTTCCCGACCCCACAATGCTTGCATTCTGCAGGGACCTAAAGCCAGCGCCACATGGTGAGCTGCCAGCTGGAGCAGCAGCCAGGCTCCCTTCTCTCGGTTATAGGAGCGGAGTGCCTGATTGCTGACCACTATGAACCCAATCCAGAGGAACAAATTCTCTAGGCTGTCGCTATTCTGGAACGTGGTACTCTGGGGCTCTCTTCTTAAGGCAAAGTTTTTCTTTCATCTTTGCAATTTTGAGTGTGCAAAATGTGGAGTCCTGCTTGGTCTTGTAATATACTCAGGCCATCTTTTCTATTGTTTTCTTCTGAAATGCTTGGTGTTTTATGGCTAATCTCTTCAGCAACCAAATTCTCCTCTGTTCCATCTTTGCAGGCTGAAACTTTACTGGAACTTCTTTCCTGGCCAAACTCAAAATGTTTAAAATCATTCTTCTATGCCCTTTGTTCGTGACTCAGCAGAGATCTGGAGAAAAGCCCCTAATAGTAGCCAACATTAGCCTGTCTTGAAATTTCTTCCACAAGATTAATTAGTCTACTGTCTTAAATTTCAGTCTCAGGCCAGGGATTCAGCTCGGTGGTTCCACCACCTGTCTCGCAAGCGCAAGGTCCCAAGTTTGATCCCCAGTAGCAAAAAAAAAAAAAAAAAAAAATTTCAGCCTCAGGCAGTTTCTGGACATGAGCAAAATGTAAACAAATTTTTTTGCCAAATGATAACATACATGATCTGGAGTCCAACACCTAATTCAATACTTGTTCCTAACTGAAATTTCTTGAGCCTGTTCTTACCTGGTTGCATTTCTGTCAGCACACTTACCTTCCGAGCTCTGACCAGAATCTCCCATTAAGTACAGCTTAAAGCATCTCAGAGAGCTGCTTCTTCAGCCAGCACCTCCAAGCCTCTCCAAACTCTTTCCACAAGGCAATTCCAAAGGCTCCTGAACCACATGGCCAGGACACACTGCAGCAATGACCCCACTCTCAATACCGAAATCTGTTTCGGTCAGTGCTTACTAGAAAACACATTTAATGAAGCACACACAAACATATAAGAATCTATGGGATTGCTTTGCAATGGCTGCCCAGAGTAAGGTGTGGAAGAGGGCAAAGGCCTGTGTATGCCTTGGAGATCTGCAGGATCTAACTGAAGGCCTGGAGCTCCCTGTAGCGTCCCCTTTGAGTCCACACGCGGAGGCTGAAAGGTCTGTGCTGGAAGCCAGGGGCTGGCAGGCAAGGTGAAGGTGAAGACGGGTGCTCCTCCAAAAACACAAAAGCAAGTCTTCTTCTTCATTTCTCTTTGACTCCATTCAGGCAACACCCAGAACATCCCGGCAAATCTTCAGGAAAATCTCCTCAGCCACACCCAGAACTATGGTGATACAATTTAGTTAGCATTTCTTACTCAAGTTGGCACGACCTGTTAACTGTCATAGTTGAGATTCACAAATTTCGATTGTTTTCCTTTTTTGTTGTTGTTGGTACTGGAGATCAAACTCAGGTCCTTGGACTTGCGAGGCAGGCAGCAGAACCACTGAGCTAAATCCCCGGCTTTTCCCCTTTTTTTATTGGTACTTTTAGATATAGATAATGCTAACTTTCATCATAGGGAATTCGTGCCTGTACTTTACACATCTAGCTTCTTTTTTTCCCCCTTTCCTCTCCACCCTTCAATCCCTCTTCTCTTCATTTACAAAAGCTTTGTTTCTATTTTTTCTTGGGTCTTCCCCCCACCAGTTACCCTTCTCATTTGAACTTTTGTTTCCTATTTCCCAATATCTATTATACATTTTAGTCCTTTACACTTTTGGTTTCTCACACCAGAGAAACAATGTGGTATTTACATGTGTGTTTGATTTATTTCACTTGAGTATGGTCTAGGGCCCGGGATTTAACTTAGTGGTGCTGCCGCCTGCCTCTCAAGTGCAAGGTCCTGAGTTCAATCCCTGGTACAGAAAAAAAGAGTATGGTCTCAAGGTGCATCCATTTAGCTAGAAATGTCTCAAGCTTATCTTTCCTTATGGTAGAATAGTACTCCATTTTTTGAGGGGGGTACCGGGGATTGAACTTGAGACCTTGTGCTTGCAAGGCAGGTGGTGGAACCACTGAGCTAAATCCCTGGCCCCTCCATTACATTTTTAAAAACCCACATCTTCATCTATTCATTGCTTGGTGGGCTTTTGGGCTGTTTTCAAGATTTAGCTATTATAAACTGTGCCACTATAAACATGGGTGTGCATATATCATTGTATTTTGTTTTGTTTTTTGGTACTGGGGATGGAACTTGGGTCCTTGCGCTTGCAAAGCACGCGGCGGAACCACTGAGCTAAATCCCCAGCCCTATATCATTGTGTTTTAGTGCTTTTAATTGTTTTGGGAAGATATCAAGAAGGGGAATAGCTGGGTCAAATGAAAACTCTAGTTTCAGTTCTTTGAGAAATCTTCACACTGATTTCCACGGCAGTTGCACCACTCTGCAGTCCCACAAACAGTGGAGAAGGGTTCCTTTTCCCCCACAGCACCTCCAGCATTTGTTATTGTTTTTTTTTTTGTTTTGTTTTGTTTTTTTACAGCAGTGATTCTCTCTGGAGTGAGATGGAATCTCAGCATTGTTTTAATTTGCATCTCTTGAATGATCAGTGATGTTGAACATTTTTTCATATATTTATCTGCCTTTTCTACCTCTTCACCTGAGAAGTGTCTGTTCATTTCAGATGCTCATTTTTGGATTGAATCTTTAAATTTGATTTGAGTTCTGTTTATATTCTAGATATTAGTCCTTTGAGAAACAGCTGGCAAAAATTTTTTTTCCCCCACACTGTGGTTGTCTCTTCACTCTGTTGGTGGTTTCCCTTGCTGTACAAAAGCTTTTTAGTAAGATGAGATCCCGGTTAATTCTTTGTGATATTTCCTGTTCAACTAGGGTTTTGTTCATTAAGGCTTTGTGCAGCAATGTCTTTGAGAGTTCTACCTATTCTATCTTCCAGCAGGTTTACTGTTTCTGTTTTGTTTGGTACTGGGATCAAACTCAGGACCTTATGCTTGCGAGGCAGGCGGTAGAACCACTGAGCTAAATCCCTGGCCCCTAGTGTTTCTGTTTTGCTATTTAGATCTTTGATCCATTTTGATTTTAGTTTAGTGCATGTGAGAGATATGGGTCTAGTTTCAATCCCAAGTGCTTGGATCACAGGTGCACACTGCCACGTCAGTCTAATACTGGGAACTGAATTTAGGAACTTTGTGCTGAGCTACATCTCCACCATTTTTCTTTCTCTTTCTTTCTTTTTTCTTTTCTTTTTTTTTTTTAAATTGAGACAGGGTCAGGGCTGGGGATTTAGGGCAAGGTCCCGAGTTTGATCCCCAGAACAACAGAAAAAGTTGAGACAGGGTCTTGTGGAATTGCCAGATTATTCAGGCTGGGCTCCAACTTTGGATCCTTCTGGCTCAGCTTCCCCAGTGTAGGAATTACAAGCCTGTGCTATCACACCCAGCTGCCTAACCTTTTCTTCTGGTACTGGGGATTGAACCCAGGGCCTCGCACATGCATAACCTCTTTTACTTGATTTTTCTATGTATCAATCATGAGTTCATTCCCAACACTCTTAAAAAGAAGTATACACCTTTCGCCGGGCGTGGTGGCTCACGCCTGTAATCCCAGCACTTGGGAGGCTGAGGCAGGAGGATCGCTGTGAGTTCGAGTCCAGCCTGGGCTACATAGTGAGTTCTAGGTCAGTCTCAACTACATAGTGAGACCCTGTCTCAAAAAACAAAAAAACAAAACAAAACAAAACAGAAAGAAGTATACACCTTCCTTTGATAGCTTAAAACATCAAACATCAGGTTTCTTTGCTCTCAAAATCATTTTTTTTACTTTTCAGTTTTATTATTATTATTAGTCCTGTTTTTGCTTTGAGACAGGATCTCGCTTTGTAGGCTTGCCTTTAACTCACTGCGTTGGCGGACCGAATTTAAGGAAATGATAGTATACTTCCACTCTGTCGTGACCTTATGTTTAGGATAGTCTAAGGTTTTCCACGAGCTCCGCGCTAGCTTGGGGCTGGGGTCGCGGCGCCCCTGCAACCGCACTGGGCCATCTGTGACCGAAGCAGGCTGAACCCGCTCAGGATCTGAGCACTGCAGACACCGCCTAGAGAACTACAACTCCCAGCAGGCCTCTAAGAACTACAACTCCCAAAAAGCCGCGCGCAGAGCTTCCCAGCGCCTATTCCGACCGGGCCTTGCGGGTGGAGGAGCAGCCGGGAGGTACCAGTGGGCTGAAGGGGGAGGGCGGAGGGCGAGGAGGGTGGGAGCAACGCCCTGGGTCTCCGAGGCACAGTGGGTGGCAGGGTAGAGAGGACCCGGAGCTTTGCTCTCTCTCCCCGCAGTGACCATGACGAAACTGGCGCAGTGGCTCTGGGCCCTGGCGCTCCTGGGCTCCGCCTGGGCGGCCCTGACTCTGGGAGCTCTGGGCTTGGAGTTACCGCCGCCCTGCCGGGACGTCCTGTGGCCTCTGCCCGCCTACCTGCTGGTGGCCGCTGGCTGCTATGCCTTGGGCGCCGTGGGCTATCGCGTGGCCACGTTTCACGACTGCGAGGACGCCGCCCGCGAGCTGCAGAGTCAGATCCAGGAGGCCCGAGCGGACTTGGCCCGCAGGGGGCTGCGCTTCTGACACCCGCTCCCGTCCCCATTAAAAAGCAAGTTTGTTTTCTAACCTCGTCCAGTTTGCGAGGGTAGAGCAGGGGCTGGGGATTCTGCATACCAGCGATCGCGAAGTGAGAGAAGGAAGAGCCACCGTCCTGAGGCCATCTCAGCCTTTATCTTTGCATTTTACAGAATGTGTTCCCCATTTTTCTCCCAGAGGAGACAAAGACACTTTATCAAAGATCTCAGAATGGAAATGTCTTTTCACTTTCCTGGTTCCTTTAATTCCATCAGGAAGTTCTCTCTCTTTTGCAGTACAGGGAAATCAAATTCAAGGAAGTTTTGTTTGTTTGTTTTTTGTACCAAGTCTAACTCAGGACCTAGTGCGCGCGCTTGCAGGGCAGGTGCAGGCGCTGAGTGAAAATCCCTGGCCCTCAAGGATGTCTTTTTTTTTTTTTTTTTTTGGTAGGCTCGAATTAGAGGACTTGCAGTGGCACCACTGAGCTAAATCCCTAGCCCTCAAGGATGTAATTCTTAACCTTGACTTCCATTCTTTGTTAACTTACAAACTTTTTTTTTTTCCGTGTACTGGGGCCCTGGATTTAGTTCAGTGGCGGCATGTCTGCCTCACAAGTGCAGGGTCCTGAGTTTGAACCCTGGTACTGCAAAAAGAAAAAGAAAGTCATGAAGATAACTTTTGGGATTGAACCCAGGACCTTCACACTGACCTACGTCCACAGCCCTTATTTTGAGAGAGTTTTACTCTAACTTACTCAATCACCCAAGCTGGGTTTGAACTCATGACCCTTCTGCCTCAGCCTCCCTGAGTGCTGGGATTATAGGTGTGCACCAACATATCTAGCTCAGAGTTCTGTTCTTTTTAAAGTCTTCCCTGGCCTTTCCAATCTCTTGGTTCTTTCAGATACCTTTTCTAAGCCAACTCTGCCTGGGAATAGCTGGATCTACCCTTCACCAAACCAGGCAGACTGAGAATCATGAGTAAAAAATAAGCATTGAGCGCCAGGGATTTAGTTTAAGTGGTTCCGCTACCTGTCCCACAAATGCAAGGTCCTGAGTTCTATCCCCGGTACTAAAAACAAAAAAAAACTGAAAAACTGATTGGCAGGGGTGGGAAATAGTTTATTTTAAGGCACAGCATAAAGCTATCACCCCCCCAACCTCCAGAATTAAAAATATAATCTCAAAAAAATAAGTGATTTCATCTGAAGTCCCACCCAATCTTCTGAGTGAAGCTTTCATTGAACCCTCTAATCTCAGAGTTGTGTCTTTCCCTCAACCCACTGCACCAATGGAACTGGTCACCAGCTAGCTGAAGCAGGAGCTCTTTGGTATCAAGTTGGCATTAAGGTGCCCAGTGGTCAGATGAGCTGCCTCAGGTTTGCAGAAGCCGATAGTTTTTGTCGTGCTCTGGGGGGTACTTCCAGAAAAGCCAGAGACGGATCAAGCTGGTAAGGATTCCTGGAAGGTTGGGCACCTGCGATAAAAGGGCTGCTATAAATCAGGTGTGGTAGCTCATGCCTGTAATCCCAGGGGCTCAGGCAGAAGGATCTGTGTGAGTTCAAAGCCAGCCTGAGTTAGAGTGAGACCTTGTCTGGAAAAAAAATACCTACTACGACGAGCCAGTTTTCTACTTTGCAAATTTATCACCCATCTATATTCTGCTTACCGTGATGTAGGGATCGCTGAGTCGAAACCCATAGAGAGACCAGGAAGCAGAGGAAAGGAGGGTGGCAATGGTGAGTGAGAAGGAGAGGCGATGGGTTGATTTAGTTTGAATGACCTTGGCCTGTGGGAAAGGATGAAAGACTCTGGACGAGGCACACAGCAAAATTCCCAGGTTGCCTAAGAATTTCCTTAGGAAAAAGGTCACTTTTCCTGGTCTGTTGTCCAACCCTCTGCTTTCCACTCACACCAGGCCTCTAACCAGGTCATCTCCCCTCCCTTTGGAATGTAAGTGGCCATGGGAGCCTGACCCTCAACTCCCGACTTCCCCGAGGCCCACTCACCAAGTCAGCCAGTGGTGAGAGATACATGCTGATGGTGAAGACACTGCAGAAGAGGCCCAGCTGCTGAAGCCGCGCCTCCACATCGGGTATCAGGAGCCAAAAGTAGCCATAGCCCAGGAAAAGGACGCCCAGCAGGGTTGCAGTCTGCAGGAGCACCCCGCGCTGCAGGGGAGAGGCCTCTTACTCCCAGGCATGCCCAGCGCGCTCTCTGACCTCCCTGTAGGAATCTATTCATCCTGCCCTCTCCACTGGGGAAACCAGCCTTTCCCAGCCAGGGAAGCAGCTTCCAGCATCACGCTTGGCACTGTCGTTCCTACCAGTGACTTAATGGAATAGCTTGTCACACAACACTGAAGGCCTCTAGGAGAGGGAAGGTACCTTTTTTTCCTGTGAGCTTGACATACACAATAGAATTCTAATAAATAAGTGTTGTGGAAAGCGTGAGGAAACAGAGCTAGTCATCTCATTCTCAACCAATGGCCCTGAAGGAAGTCTGGAAACAAAAGTCCTTTCTCTTCAACCTGCTGTGGGGAGCTCAGCGCGGCACTGGCATCACTAGGCCAGCAGTGCCACCAGCCTTGGGAGAGTGGGGAGCAGTGAGTCCCAGAAGGCTGGCTCCAAGGAGGACAGGAAACGGCAAGGCTGGAGGGCCTTCTAGGAAAAAGTGACAGTGCCAGCCTCTGAAGTGTTCTAGGAAGAAATGTTTCCTGCCAGCGAGGCAGGGCGTGCAGCAGAGGTGGGTCCGAGGGAGGCCTCTACCTTCTGCGGGCAGTAGCGCAGATAGGCCACGATATACAGGGTCTGAAGCATAGCACCTAAGGCGTTGACGATGATGAGGGTCCCGTCTCCTTTCAAGACCCCGTAACTCAGCCAGCCCAGGTTGCTGCGGGGAGGAGGAGCGAACAGGGATGCAGGGCTGAGTGTGGCAGGGGGTCCCCGACGGCCCTTCCGCCTTCCTCCAGCCTCTCCCCGCCTCCCCCAGACAGCCTTTGCCACCGGAGCCCTCTTCTTTCTCACTTGACATCCGTGGTGAGAAAGGGTAGGAACTGGACGCTGTCCACGCTCCGGGTCATCTGCATGTGCCTGAGGTCCGAGCTGTAACGGGGTCCCGAAGGGACGGGTAACGGGTGAGTGGGAGACCCTAGATGCTCGTCATCCTCCCCGCAAGACCCACCCCCAGGTGCCCTGCTTTCTCCCTCCGGCGAAGCGACCAGCCTTGCCCTTGTATCCCAATCCCCTCGACCCGATTCCACTTTGACCGCCGGTTCCGATGCAGCCTGGGGGTATGGCCACGGCTCTGTCCATTCGCTGTCCTTTCATGACTTCCTGGTCCTCCCCCAGCCCACCCGGGCCGCGCTCTCACAGGCCGGTGGAGAACATGCCAAGGGTGAAGACCACGCAAGCTCCGGAGAGGAGCGAGTCGGCCACGCCGCCCGCCTCCATCCGGCCGGAGTCGGATCCCGGGCACCGGACACAGCCCAGCTGCCCGCGCCCGGCCCGCCCCCGGAAACCCGCCCTCTCCTAGGACGCCGCGCCGGAACTCAGGCCCCGCCCCCGGCCGCAGACCGCCGCTCCTCCGCCGCGGCGGGCTCTTCCCGGAGCTGGCCCTGCCCGCCTCCTCCGGAGGCTCGGTGTATGTGTCCCCCACAGCTCCAGCCTCGATCTGCGTAGCCCTTGTTTAGACCCCAGCCTTTAATGTGTTGCAAAGAGGTCTATGTGGTGGGACTGAAAACAAAAGCTGGGCTTCCCTCTCTTCTCACCTCCTGTCCAGAGCTCCAGATTGGTCCTCAGTGGTCGAGGGTTTGGGATTTCCCTCGAGTTCACTGCAGGTTCTTCCCGGCCTCCGCTAAATAACTGGTCTCGCCAGGAATTACGGTCTTCCTTCAGCAGAGGCCCCCCTTCCCCAGCCACAAGGCCAACTTTACAAGATCTGGCCAGTTCCCTGAAGTCCCTGCCACTGACCCCACCGTCCAACCTGTCTGCTGCTGGGAATTCTCTCACAGCCTCCCACGGCTCTGCTGGCGGGGCTGTGGGGCGGGGTGCGTGCCGCAGCTGGCATTAGGCTTGAGTCACCCAGCCAGCCCGCCGGCGGAGTGCCTGACCCGCATGCCACAGCCTTGTGCTGGGGGGGTGCGAGCGGGGCAGGAAGAACTGCTCTAGTGGGGTGCAGAGAGGCTGCTGTGGGGAGCACTCCTGCCCTGCCCTGCGCAACCCTGAGGAACCAACCCCCACCCTTCTGGCCTGTGAGGGGCCTGCACTTTTTGGAAAAAGAAATTCACCCCCAGATGCTTCTGATGCAGCAGAGCCTCACACACAGCAGGGATTCTATGCTCATTTAAAAACGTCCAAAAAACCAAACACTGCTTTATTTTGAGACAAAGAACATAGTATAAAAAAACAACAACAAAGACTCCAGTTGTAGAAAGCAGACACACAGTAAGTTCGTATCGAGACACTGTAGGTGAGGGCCCTGCCCTTTAGGCTACACTCTAGGCAGACTACACAAGGGCGCTGCCCTTACAGCTCCACTCCAAGAACAGGTTGGCACAGCCCCCTGCTGGCACAGCTCTCTGCAGTGCTGCCCCAGGGTGAGGAGAGAGGATGCAGTGCCTAGCCGCTCCTCAGACGGAAGGCTTGCTGGGAGACGCTGGGTCAGCCCAAGCGTGCTGCCGTTTCTGTACCTGGCTCCTGTGCAGGAAACTGTCCCTTCTTCCTTCAGTCAGTTCATCCGGACATGCTGACTTTCTCTGGGAGCGGCACCTTGGCCCACCCGGTGTCAGGCTGCGCGTCCATCTGCATGGCCTCAGGCCCTTTCCAGCTTGGCTCCCACTGCGCCCTCTCACGGGGCCATGTCTGCATAGCTTATTTCTTTGGTTTAAAGGTAGGAATGGTGGGGAAAAGACTGTCCCCACTTCTTACTCCATCCCTAAAATGCAGGTGGGGATGGCATTGGCAGAGTGGTGGAAACCCTTAACACTGACCCATTTTGAGGCTGATGGGTGGCAGCTTGGGCTGGTGGTGGGAGTGGCTCCCAGGACGGGAGCTTTGGGATCCGCCCCAGGACATGTGGCAGGTGCCTGTCCCTGGCCCCTCAGCCCAGTTCCGTTTCTTAATGTGGTGGACACCTTCACTGAGTTTGCAGCAGCATCAAGGGCAGGAGCAGCACAGCCCAAGCAAGTGGGAAGAGACGGGGGGCAGCACTATGACCGATGCTGTGTAGAACCTGCACCTCCGGGTCATCTGCAAGGCGAAGAGAACAAAGGCCCCCAGGGTAAGAGCCCCGCTGTTTGCATTGGCCTTCAGCCCCCCAAGACTCTGCCTGGCAAAGGAGCCACTTTCTGTACCCAGCCTCCTCACACAGACCCCTTCCTGTGTCCCAGACACCTACCTGACTGAAGCCTCTTATCCTGTGGGTTGGCATGAGCCTGTGGACTGTGAGCTGCAAGAGTGGAACAGATGAGGGACTTTACCAGGGAGGCAGAGGGAGTGGGCGCTGGGTGGATTGGGCAGTGCGGCTTCCCTACCCTCCCGGATCACTAGGCGGCTGGCAGAAACAGAGGGGAGGTGCCCAGGGCACAACACTCACTGATCTTGCCATCGACAGTCACCTTCAACTTCAAGCAGTAGTTTTCTTGATGGGAGATGGGTTTGGCTGAAAGATAAACCCAAGGGAACTAAGCAAAGAACTTTTATTGGAAAGAGCTATAAGCCCAAATGTGTCTGGCCCTGACTTCTCAGCTCCCAAGTCACTTGAATTCCTCTCTTCCCTCTAATCCTGATTCTTCCCCACTTCCTGCCCAGTCTCCCATCCTTTGGAACACTGCCTGAAGCCTGGCAGTGGTCGTGAAAAGGCAGACCCATTCCATCCTTCACACCTTCAAGCACGAGGTTTGGTGAGGCGCTCACACTACGCTCCCCTTTACCTGGGCCATCTCATACCTCCTCTACCTAGAGCTCACTGGCAGTGAGTCCTGGATATGTTGTGTGTGACACGGCCCTTGTAACTCTTAAAATCCAACGGGAGCTTTCCGCTGGCCTCAAGACAAAGCCTGAAAGCCTCTGCGGTATTCGGGCTCCTGGATGGGTCCTTTCTACTTCCCAAGCTCGTCTCGCCCCGCTTACTGTGTGTGTCCCCCTCTTGGAGTTCCCTCAAGAGGCCGCTCGCTCCCTTTGCACATGTGCCCTCACACCTGGCCAGCTCCTCCTCTTGTCTGAAGCTCTGGGGTCTTTTCCTTGCTTGGCTGCTTCTGTTTCTAAGCCGGCAAGTGCACAGGCCATTTCGCCTAAGGCCTCTGTGCTGGTGTCTACCACATTACTGTGTTCTAGGTCTGCTGACATAGCTTCCTTGGACAGGAGCTCCGAAGTGTTTTCCTTAACTCTGCGCCCATTCTGCCACGCAGGATGCTCCCTCCACAGAAGCTCACTCCACATGTGTGACGTGAACGAATGAATGAAAATGGAATTCAGGCTTAGGAGGGGCCCTGTGCTACTCGGCTCCCCACTAAGCAGGTCAGGCACAGGCACCATGCCGTCACGCTGCTGTGCCCTCCATGTGTGCCCCTGTGCCTGCCTCCCCTGCACTCACAGATGTAGTAGTAGCTGTGTCCCTCCTTGAATTCCTTGCCCAAGGTGAAAGGTGTGAAGCGCTGGAACTTCTCAGACAGCTTCTCTGGGCCATGCTTGGCACTGGGCTGGTTGCATCGCCAGCGGACCTGGTCTTGGGACTGGGGCTGGCACTCGGCGTACTCCTCATACTCCACCAGGTACAATGTATAGCGCTCCATGGCAGCGTCCGCCACAGAGTCATCCTCGTAGTGGGGACAGAGGATGTCCAGGTAGTCATTCAGCCGCACATGTACTGTGTAATCTTCATCCCGGAACCTGGGGATGCACAGAAAGGGAGGAAGAAAGCCATCGTTTAGAAGCCAGGCCAGAGCCGTGAGCCTCCTGCTGTCTACATGAGCCTTCCCCGTTCACACGGGAGCCTGCAAAGATTTCTCCTAACTCAACTCCCAGCATGTACCAGGCCTAGTCCCGCCGGGATTGAACCTGGCATGCTCTACCACTGAGCTTCATCACCAGTGCTTTCATTTTTTTAGACTTTAAGACAGGAAGGATCTCACTAGGCTGCCCAGGCAGGCCTTGCACTAGGGGAAGGAGTGCTGGCGTGACTAGCATGTGCCACCACGCCTGGCGGGTCTGATCCATCTCTTTATCTCCAAACGTCTCCTCCACTTCTCCTTTTTGTCCACCCAGAATCTCAGGTACCAATGCATTTTCTGTAACCCCCTGGCATTTGCCCAAAGATAAGCTTCTAAATGTTTTAGAACTCACTCTTCATTCTCTTCTATCTTTAACTTTCCCTGAATGTATTCTACCAGTTGCTCCTTTATTTTGATTGATTGATTGATTTTTGTTACTGGGGATCAAACTCGGGTCCTTGCGCTTGCCAGGCAGGTGGTGGAACCGCTGAGTTAAATCCTGGCCCTTAGTTCCTCCTTTAAATGCTAGCAGACTTCAGTCTAAAACCACTCACGGCCTTTCTTTCTTTCTGTTTTTTTGAGGTGATGTCTCACTGTATAAGCCCAGGCTGGCCTTGAACTCACAGCAGTCCTCCTGCCTTGGTCTCCCAGCTCTGCACCACGGCGCTGGCTAAGGCACGTCTACTGTCCACATCCAAGGTGCCCATCACCTGAGCCTTCACTTCTCAGACTTCTTTCTCTTGACCCTCAAGTCTTACATTTTGCAGCTCCACTTTTCCCTCTGAACTTCTCTCTAGGTTTAACCTGGGCCCACAGATAATGTGCCCAGTCTTTCAAGCTATGTCACTCTCAGCGTTTACTCCCATCTGCCTTTCTTGCTACTCATTTTTATGGGGGGTGCCTCCCTGCCTTCTTTCAATCACTCCAAATCTCCCACTTTATTGCCACAACCACCCCCACCACCCCCTGGTGCGGTGCCTGGGTTCTCCGACCCAAACCGGCCTGCTCCAGTCCCTCCTCCCCGGGGAGAGCCAGGTCCCCTCCCCCACC